ATGATTTAATAAACATTTCAAATGGTATGCAAATAGATCAAATGTGGTATAATATAATAGAGGGCGCTAATAGATAAATTGGTTTGTAATGTCTGGTGACATAAAATATTAAAGTAAAATATATTGTAAAAGTGTGAATGTATCCTCTTAAGTGTGTTAATAGTAATTAACCTGAAAAAAACGTTCATTATTGCTGCAACATTTCAATAAAGTGCATACGAATTTTTCTTGAAAAAAGTTGTAATTGTAAAGGTTTTTATGAACATTTGTAAAGTGTGAGTATTGTTAAGTTTTTTGATGTAAAAAATATACTATGTTATAAAGTAATAATTATAAATATATTGATATATTAGGTGCAACGTATTAATGTGAATATGTAGTTGAAGTGTTTTTTAAATGGCTGTATTTTTATTCTTTTACAATGTTACCAATTATACACCGAGGTTTTTAGAAAACAGAATCTGAGGTAACGTATATTGTTTAATAGTTTTATGTCAGTAAATATTGTCTACACGCGAAGAATTTTTTGTAATCTCACTAATTGCATATAATTTTTAAGTAATTGTATATAAATTTTTTAAACAGTTTGTACTGAAGAGGGACTTAAATTACAATTGAGTCCGAAATGCATATGACAAATCAATAAAGGAAGTTCATAACCTGAATGCTGTATATGATAGTCTACCGAACTGAAAATCGGATTAAAGAGACAAATTCACAACGAAAATAGCAGCAGCCATAAGTGATTTTCCAAATAGATGTTCTCTTTAGTCAAATCTTAAGTTTTGTAATTCTCCTGTTCTAGTAGCAACCAACAAAGATCTGTTGATCCAGATCAAAAAACGTCTTTGCCATTAAATTAATTCGCTGGAATTAAGAAAAATGAACTTTTTTTTTCATATTGTGTTTATACAATTTCATGATTTTCAAAAGTTTGTGATTAACATTTTTCTTTACATCAATTTTGGGAGCACAAGTAATTGAGGCTTTATCAGCCATAACAAGATCATCAAATGATGTCTGTACATTAAGGTAACTTTCATTTGATCCCATTCTTTGGATTCACTATTTGTAACATTATCATTTTCGGCATCGATATGGATTCCTATAAAAACCTTCCTTTAAAAAAACATTTGAAATAGCATTTTTAATTAATTTATTTCAGTATGAACCGAGCCTATGCGTAGCTTGCAAAAGATTTTATTTTATTTTGATATTTTAATATAACTATCAAAATGCTTTAATAAATATCGAATTACTTCATATCTTATTCGTGTACATCATTTTAATGACAGACGTAATTTCTTGGTCCACTAGATTTTATTTACTTGTGCACTTGGGTGGAAGCAATGCAGTTTTTATATTTTTAAGTGTTATTCTTATGTAGTTATGAGCAATGCATCTGTCTAAAAACAAAATAATTTTCCCGTTTCTCGTATCGCCTTTGAATAAAGCGTGACCCGCTAATTTCTAAAATTGGACGTGGTTATCCGTGAATTTTTGAATTTCTATATGGAAGTAATTTTAAAATATTTTTAAAGCGTTGCATTTGTACGGAAGAAAATCCAATGAGTTGCGTAACTTTACTAGCAAAAAACTTTAAAATTGCATATGGTGTCATTTGTTATCATATTAAAAAATCTTTTTTATTATTAATGCAAGCTTAATGGCAAAAAGCTTAATTTTGAGGGTAGAGAAGAGTTTTGTAACAAATTGTAAATGCCCATAGAGTAAAATCTTCATTAAATCTGATCCTACTCGAGATATGACGAGTGACCCCACTCTATCTCCTCAACCTCTTCATTTTTAACCACCAAAATTTAACAGACTCGAGTCTCTTTGCAAAATTTCAGAAATTTTCGAGAAAAGGCACGGGTGTTATTAAGCTTCAAATTGGGAAAACAAAATTGTGCCCCTCGTGCAAGCTAATGTCTACACGTATAGAAAAAACCCTCAAATTTTTTCTGCATTTCTTGACATTTTCAAGATGTCAAGTCCAAAAATGTAAAAATCTTGAGGTTCATATTTTGACCAATTGTTTCTGTTATATATAACAACCAGGAAAGTAATAACTTTAAATCTTTCTTTGCTTTTTTCCACCATGGCAAGAATCTTTCACAGAATATGTCTTATCTTGTGGTAAATTAAGAAATCAGATTCATCTGCATTAAATAGCTTGTATCCTCAGCATCATATCTATGTATAAATTCTTTTAATGTTATTTGTCTCTCATCTAGAATATAGATGTTTCCTCTCCTGACATTTATAATGTTGCTAAGTTTGAACTTTTTCTACCAGTCTTTGGAAGCATAAAAATTTTGTCAATTAAAGTGAAAGTACAAATCCATGTCTTTTTTCTCAAGATCAAACCTGAAACCAGAAGAGTTGTAACTCTGGCCCCTCAATCACTCAAACACAAGTTTACCTGGCTCTTTATTTTTACTTTGTGATATTGTTTCTGATCGGGACAAAGTTAGGCTGCATCTTCTATTTCTGTGCATTTCTACAAAATTTAAGTGTCAAAGGTGATATTCCAAATGACTTTGTTACATCTATCTTTCTTTTTCATTATCTATTGCCTTAAAAACATTTAATTTAATGTCTGTTGATAACATCTGTCTTTTCTTTGATATATCCATATCTCCAAAATGAATGCTTGTTAATTTGGTAAAGAAACATTTAAATATAAACATTCAGACAACAGGTTCAGACTACTGCACAGATTTTTGGGTATCTTATTGTTGTATATACTTTTCAATGCTGATTTCATAGTTTATCTAAAGAAACAAATGTATCTTGTCCAACTGAACATTCCTGATATTGTGTAAAACTCTTAGCATAAATAAATTACAAAACTTAAAAAATACAAATGTTGTTTTATTGTATTCTCAATAAACCTGCTAAAATTAAGTTTATTTCTAAGTGAATACTGTCACTTCTTACATACATATATAAATTATTAGTATTTATTCATAATAAATTGAAAAAGGAATAAAAGAACTATGTTTGGTAAATATATGATAATCCAAAAATATTAAATACTCAAAATATTCAGAGCATTGTATGATGTTTGATTAAGCAATTATTGCATTGTTATATTAGGGTATATCAATATAATTTAATCACAAGGAAGACTACTGTCTTTTAAGGTCATTATATCATAATTAATACCAAAACATGTTTTTAAATGATTTTTTATTTTGTTTTATTTTTTGAATTAGAAGTTTCTGTTGTTATGGTATTATATAGAGTTAATCTGGGATCAAACTATTAATTTGATGAATAGAGGTTGTATGATATAAAGAGATTCAATGATTAATATATATATAATTAACAAAAGAATGCTGCTCAGTTAAGCTTTTATTTAAAAATTCAATCAAAAGCACAATTTTTTTCATTTAGTTTTCTGGGAATTTTTTTAATAGTAATATAAAAGTTTTATTCTTAATATCAGATGATGATAACTTTAATTTAGATATTTTATCTTTATAAATGATGTGGAATGAAGACAATAATATAACAAGTCTTTAATTTGTTATATTATTATCTTACAGTATGTATAGATAACATAACAAATCATAGTATAGTATAGGTCATAATATAACAAAAATTAAAATTTTAAATTTGTAAATTATAGTCTTTCAATTCTTATTTTTTTCTTATTAAAAAATTTCAGATATTTATATAAAAACAGAATACGATTAATAGAAGCTGATGCATTTAAAGGTCTTCATAAATTAGAACAATTGTAAGTAAGTTTTTGTTTTTTTGAATAAATTAGCTAAATATAGCATTGAAGTTAAAAGACCCTACTTTTTAACTTCGATTCCATCTCATGCGTATTGCATTTCTGGAATTCTGTCTGTCAGTGCTGTGTCCTATCACAAGTCACAAGGCTTATGAAACAGTGCAGCCTAAATGGAATACATTTTTAAATGAGGAATTTAAAATGGGCAAAAAGGAAAACTTAACTAAGAATTACTAAAAAATATATAACATTATAAAAATAAAGTCCAAAATTAAAATGGAATAGATAACTTGTAATAAAATGAACACCATACACACTTTTTCTGTAAAAGGAGTTTGCGGAACAACTGTTTTCGGTTTATTTTATAAACCTGTTTCAGGTTTCAAACTGCAGAACTCCAAAATTTCAAATTTTTGGTTTTTCATTTATATACTTGTTCAAATATATATTTATGTATATATAATTACAATATTTTAAAAAGAATTTTATAAATAACATCATCAAACATTTGAAAAATTCCAATTTGAACTTTCAGAATTTTGTAGTTTGAAATCTGAAGCATGTTTATAAAATAAACTGAAAATATTTGTTTCGCAAAATCCTTTTGCTGGAAAAGTGTATATGGTGTTCATTTTATTACAAATATAAAAATATATTGGATTTTTGAATATTGTATTTTAATGTAGTATGGGTAACAGAAAGAGTTCTTGTTTGTTATATTTTAACAAATTAATTTTGGAAGACTTCCAAGAAATTTTGACTTTGAAGTTTTGAATATGCAATTTTTCTACTTTGCAATGGAGCAATGCTTTTCAATGTGGTGTGAAATTTCAAGTGACATGTGAGACAGCATGTGGGGCTGAAGTAAAATGTGCCACTCTAGCATTAAAATGCCATGTTAAAAAATTTTAAAAATCTATAACTTGAAGATTGTTAGTTATTATTATTTTTATTATTAATAATAATAATTAATAAATAATTCATTTAGTATTGTTTGTCTGCTACCAACATCTAACATAATACCAACAGTTTAAACTATTTTATTGCAAATAAATACCTGATTGTCCTGCTTTACATGAATAAATTATGTTGTTGATTTTACAAGATTTTTCCTTAAAGTTTAAAATGACAGTAATTTTTGTGGGACAATGTGTGCATTTCCATGCATTCGATAATATTTTATTTGTGATTAAATGAAATAAAATTAGAATTGTATTAATAAATCTAATTTTATTTATTTTGACCTTGTTTTATATGCGAGATTTAAATATGGTATTTGCATATACGAGGTCTGTTCAAAAAGTATCGGACTTTTATTTTTTCCGCGTAAACCAATGATGCGCGGGAGGCCTCTTTCAGTGGAGTTGTGGAGGGGACAGTCATGCACAGCCCTGAATTTTTTCCTGCCTGCAGGAAGCGTCAGTCATTGGCAGTCAGCCTATGAGTGAGGACATGTAGTGAGCTCTCGTCAGATTCCACTAAATTGGAAAATGACTGAACAACGTGAGCAGCGATATTACCTCAAATTTTGCCGAAAACCTTGGTGATACCCAAGTGTAAACCATTCGCAAGATTCAGCAGGCTTTCGGGGACGATCCTCGAGGCCAAAAAAAGCGCGGCAGGTCCGCAGCAATATCAAGGTCATGTTGACAGTTTTTTCAACTCTCGTGGGGTGGTTTATCGTGAGTACGCACCACAAGGCCAAACCATCGCAAAGGAGTACTACCAGGAGGTCCTTCGTCGTCTTTCCGATACAGTGCGATGCAAACGATGGGATCTGTGGTCGATCAAAACTTGGCAGCTCCATCGTGATAACGCATCCGCCCATTCTGCGCATCTGATTCGGGCTTTCGTCGCCAAACACAATACTCCTGTGGTTCGTCACGCTCCGTACTCTCTCCACATGGCTCCGTGTGACCTTTGGCTATTTCTCAAGCTGAAAATGCCGCTAAAAGGAACCCAAATTTAGTCGAGAGAAGACATCATGCGAAATGCGACGGACCGGCTGATAACCATTCCAAAAGATGCGTTCCAGCAGTGTTTCCAGCAATGGCAGGAACGCTGGGAGAAGTGTATACACTACCAAGGAGACTACTTTGAAGGGGATTAGGGTTTTGTACCTCAAAATCAATAAATGTATTTTTGCCGACCAAAGGTCTGATACTTTTTGAACAGCCCTCGTATATTTGAATAGACTGATAATTGCTTATTAATTATAAACTGAATGGTTCAGCGGAAGTACTAATAACTAGTAATATTAATAACACAATTATTATTTAGTGTGATATTATAAGAAAATATAATACATAATAAAAATCATGTAAATATTTTTAATAATGTTATATCAATGTTTGAAATTCATTTCATTAGCAAAAATAAAAACAAATTTCAACAATAGCCAAATGATTGCTGGATTATATTAGGTTATAGTAGCAATTAGTAATAATTGACAATAGTATATTACTATTACTGTTAATAATTAAAGCACTAAGTAGTAATATAGTCTGATATAATTGTGAGATTCGGAAAGTTGTTTTTCCATAAATTTGCGAAAGTTTTTTTTTTGAATTTGCTTTTTGAAATAATTTGCTTTTTTTGCGAAGTTATGGAAAAACAACTTCCCAAATCTCACATAATAATTGGGCCATCATTTGGCTTTAATATATAACTAACTGGTTTTGGATGTTGATGTTTCTAATGAAATTCGAGAATTTTTGATAAGTAAATTTCAAAATAATATAATAGAAACTTGCTTATCTAAATTTGATAGAAATAGATCCAATTTAGATAAGCAAGTTTCTATTATATTATTTTGGAATTTACTTATCAAAAATTCTCGAATTTCATTAGAAATATCAATGAATAATTGATGTTTCTAATATTCTTGAAAAATATTATGGATAGAAAGATATATAGTATTGTATATGGCTACAATATTTCAATGACTCAAGACTCTGTTTATCACAACTTAATACAAGCCAAGCCATTTTATAGAATGGGTCAGCAACCTTTTTGTCACTAAGAGAACAATAAAAATTTTAAAAACTATCAAGGGCGTGTAGTTTAAAACTTTTTGAAAAAAATCACAATGTTGTAATAAATAAACAAAATAATTATGTTTTGAAATATGTATATTTATACAAAATAAAGATTATACATGCATGTAATAACTAAAAAATGAAAATTAAAAGTATGTACATAAAATAACACCAAATAAAATTACTATTATATATATTTGCACTTGTTGACTATAGTTCTAGAGGGTGCAGCTGCCGTGTTGCCAACCCAACATAAACTAATATAAAATTTTAATTAAAAAAACAAGATAACAATAAAAAATTTGACAATTTAATTAGAACACAACTTCATTTACAATGCACTCTTGCTAATCTGACACTACTTAATCTGCTTAATTCAATTCTACTCATATTTTTACTTTCCCAGCTCTGTTATATATAACAGAGGAAAAGTATGGCAACAGATAAAAAAATGACTTCCCAGATTTTTACGTTTTTGGACCTTGAAGTGTTGAGAAATGCAAACAAATTTGAGAGTTTTTTTCTGTATGTATAGATGTTACTGTGTGTGTGGGGAGAACAATTTTGTTCACTCTCTTTAGAACTTAATAACTCCTATGCTTATTGTCAACAATTTCTGAAATTTTGCAGAGAGGTTTGGGATATTAGGGGATTGATGCTGTTAAATTTTGGTGGTTAAAGATCAACAAAATGGGGAGATAAAGGGGGTTGTGTGTCATATCTCAAGAAGGGTTAGACTTAATGACAATTTTAATCATTATTAGCATTTACAATTTTTTTTATAAAACTCATCCCTACCCTCAAAATTAAGCTTTTTGCCATTTTATAATAATTTAAAAAACTTTATATCACATGTTTTAATAAAATAACAGATATTCAACTGTGTGTATGGTGCTATGTTGTCAGGAAAATTAAGCAACTTGTTGCTGGATTTTTTTTACTATTTTACCAAGTTAATAATAAATTTTATGATTTTGAATCATGTTTCATTATAGCAAATTACTGAGAGTAAAATATACAGTACTACATATCAAATAGAGCAGTCAAAATTTCTTCCATAAATTTTATGGTAAAAGTAGATAAAAGCAATGAAAACTATTTATTGAGTAGATGGAAAAAACTTTTAACAGATTTGACCTGAAAGCACTAGGCAAATGAGTTTATTTTTTGTTTGATTGCTCCATTAAAGCAGTTTTTCATTAATTTCTTATATATGGTGAGTTATTTTTATTTATTGCAATTCTATTGGAAAAACTTATGATTTCTTTTTGATTTTCTCTGAAACATTTAGCAGCAAAAGTTTTTTAAAAACATGAGAATTTTGTAAATTTAATATATGCAATACATTTTAACATATCGACTGCTCAGAACAAGAGAGTTACAACTCAAAAATATAGATTTTTCAGGAGAGCCATTTGAAGTTTTCAATTCCAGCTGATAAATCAGGGAATTGTTTAAAATCAATGAAATTTGGTTTGAATGTTAATTATAGTCATTACATTGAGTTGGAATAATAATATTATTTAAATGTATTTTCTCTGTTATATTATTACATATTTTTTGAGTTGCAACAGTTTTGCATTCAAAATGTCATTATTGTTTTCTCAGTTACAACTGTTTGCCATTCTTTTTTACTTAGAACAGCTGTTTGCCATTACATAATAATATACATTTTATATAAAGTTACAGTATTTATTTTAACAGAACAGAAAAATGTAATGTTACATTCTGGTTTTATGAGACCCATGTTGTTCAAACATGACAAACAATAAAAACAAAAGTAAGAAAGTTCACAAAAAATTAACACAGCCATTAAAAAAGTATCACTAATTGTGCTATGGTTTTATCAAGCAAATTAGAGATCAGTCTTTTTCAACACTACTGGAAACTTTCAGAGAATTATAAAATGATGCATGCATGCTTGGAATGACACCACTTTTACACAAGTCCAGCAAATCTTTCTTCTTTCCAGCATCTATCCCTGGTGGTNTTTTTTTGCGAAGTTATGGAAAAACAACTTCCCAAATCTCACATAATAATTGGGCCATCATTTGGCTTTAATATATAACTAACTGGTTTTGGATGTTGATGTTTCTAATGAAATTCGAGAATTTTTGATAAGTAAATTTCAAAATAATATAATAGAAACTTGCTTATCTAAATTTGATAGAAATAGATCCAATTTAGATAAGCAAGTTTCTATTATATTATTTTGGAATTTACTTATCAAAAATTCTCGAATTTCATTAGAAATATCAATGAATAATTGATGTTTCTAATATTCTTGAAAAATATTATGGATAGAAAGATATATAGTATTGTATATGGCTACAATATTTCAATGACTCAAGACTCTGTTTATCACAACTTAATACAAGCCAAGCCATTTTATAGAATGGGTCAGCAACCTTTTTGTCACTAAGAGAACAATAAAAATTTTAAAAACTATCAAGGGCGTGTAGTTTAAAACTTTTTGAAAAAAATCACAATGTTGTAATAAATAAACAAAATAATTATGTTTTGAAATATGTATATTTATACAAAATAAAGATTATACATGCATGTAATAACTAAAAAATGAAAAGTACATACTGTACATAAAATAACACAAAATCAAATTAAATAAAATTACAAGTATATATTTTTGCACTTGCGTGACTATGGTTCTAGAGAGTGCATCTAAAATATACCATTGGGCACCACATTGCCGACCCCTCTTATAGAACATTAAACATATTCCAGTGTTAACTTTCAATAAAAATAAAAAATAAATTTTATATAAAATTTAAAAAATAAAACATTACTGTAACTTTTCTGGATCTGGATAAACCAGAATTTCAGATAATTGCAATTTGGATAACTGAGTTTTTTGCGTATATTTACGTAAAAAATATTATTCTGTAATAAATTTTTGTACTAGATTCTAACAAATAGTTCATAAATTATTAAGTTTAAAAAGAATATTATGATAAAGACATTAACAGGAATAATACAAATTTCCCTATAGTCTAATGTAATTATTTTATTAAATTAAATTACATTTAATTCATTTATAGATCAAAGTTTAATAATATACACAAAATAATACTTACAATATATATTAAATAATTATTTTAAAATTTGTTTTAAAATATTTTTAAAATTAAACTTAATGATCATATTGTCGATTGATTTTGCTTTATGTTAGAAATATATATAAATATGCAATTACACATAATAATAATAATAATTGGTTAAAAAATCAAAGTTGTATTTATAAAATTATTGAATATAAATTATAAACTACTGTAATAGTAATTCACAGTTTAGGAAAAGATAAAATTGTTAAGAAGTGATAATTTTAATTGAAAAGTGAAGTAACTTTACATATTTGAAACATAAAAACTGATATACATATCATATGAAATCTTTTTAAAAAAAGCACTTAAAATATATATACATTAACTTAAGTTCTAAATTGATATTTTAGGTACATCCACTTCAATAAGATAGAAAAGATACAAACTGAAACATTTGCTGATCTTCCAGCTTTAGAAAGACTGTAAGTATTGTTCTTTACATTATGTAATATAAAGAAACTTTTAAAATAAGAGTACTACTGATATAAACATTTTAAATATATGAATTTTTAAGTGCCCTATCAAAGTTTTTATAAATATTTACTTAGAGAATTTTAAAATAAGATTTTATTGTTACATTTTTAATACAAATATATTTGTATTAAAAATGTTAATAGATATATGTATATCTATTAGCATTAATTCAGACTTTTAAAATTATTGCTAAGAAGAGAATAATTTATTTTCAATTATGAAAAAGGAAGTAAAAATAATTTTATACCCTTTTGTACTACACAATGCATTTTTTAAAAATAATACTTGTTTTCATTAATATTAAAGTTTTAAGAATCAAATTTGAAATCAAGTTACAAATGAACTCAAAATATTTTTATAATCCAATAAAACTTTATTTTATTCAGTTCATTTAGATTGTAGAAAATAAAGTTCTGCTCAATTATAAATATATTAATTAAGAACTTGTTCACTAATATTAACATTTGCATATACAGTAATACCTCGACTTACGCAAACTCGGAGTGATGCGATTTTCAAATCTTGGTCAATTTGTCTTTTGTTTGAGCGCCACGCAACTCTTGATTACTCACTCCCCTTACACTATTGTTCAGCTTATATGTTCGGATGTGTCACGTGGAATTGACACATAGCTACAATTTATTTTGTGTTATTTATTTCTGTGTTTGTTATATGTACGGAGACTTGAGAGACTCTATGTGGTGATTTCTTGTAACCGTGAACGAATAAAAAGACGAGATAAGATTAACGAGAACATTTATTAGCTTAGATACATCTGACTTGGATTTTACATAAATTGCAAAATTATACTTCGACTTACATGGTTATCGCTCAGTCCCACCTATTGCATAAGTTCGGTGTATTACTGTATGTTTAATTGACCAAACTTTATATATTTTAATTATATTATTTTGCCAAACTTAATGATGAGTGCTTAATATAGAATTTATTTAATAAAAATTACATATTGTGTTATAACTATAGTAAAATATGCAAATAATTTTTGGAAATAAATAAAGTATTAGTAAAACAGTAACTTGGAATTATTTTTCTATTTTATTCTAGTGTGTATATAAATTTAACATATAAATTTTATTTTTTAGCTTTTTGCATAATAATAAACTTTCTAGAATTCCTCCTGGAGTATTCCGAAAATTAGACTCATTAAGACGATTGTAAGTTCTATTTTTTAAAATATTTCATTTCAAAATTTTTAATAATTGTATACATTTTTTGGAATAATTATTTCAGACGATTGGATTCTAATGCATTAATATGTGATTGTGAATTGTTCTGGTTAGCAAAAATGCTTAAAGATAAACAATCAACTACTCAAGCTGCAGCTACGTGTGAATTTCCAAGCCCTCTTCAAGGAAAATCTATTATGGCTCTTGACAGTGATGATTTTAGATGCAGTAAGTTTAACAAAGCATTTATTTTATTTCTAATTTTACAATTATTCTAACATGATATTATAAATATGAATTAAACAAGACAAAGACACTATTAGATTAAGACAGTTAAAAATTTTATTTTTACAGAAGCATTTTTGACATTCTTGAAGCAATCATCAAATACATAAATGGAAATTCAAACATTGAATATCCACTCAATGTTTGAATTATTTCATTTATGTAATTGATGATTATATTTATTAATGTCAATAGTGAAATTACCTGATATATGAAAAATAATTTTGTTATTATTATTTATTTTATTAATATATAATTTAAAATTTGTAAGATATTTTCAAAACTTGTGCAATATTAAAAATAGTATACTAGTCAGCTTATCTAAACTGCTGAAGGAGGATACATTTCAGTTCAATACCAGTGAAATAATTATATACATTATAAATCTATTTGAATATATTATAAAATGTAATTTTATTTTCAGAAATGCCAAAATTAACAGAAGAACCTCATGATGTAGATGTGTCATTTGGTGGTACAGCTTATTTTAATTGTAAAGCAGATGGTGATCCCAAACCTGATATTGTATGGTTGCATAACAAGTAAGGAAGGTGATTATTTTAACTATAAATTAAAATAATATGACAAACTTCGAAGTATCTTATGTTTATTGTCTTCAGTAAATTATTTAAGATTAAAAAAATTATTACACCTTTTAGAATCAAGTAATTTTGAATTGTAATTGTTATAGTTTATTCTTTAAGATAAAATACTAAGTTATCTGGTGTTATGATGTTTCTTATGTTTTGAGATTTTTTTTACCACTGTCATGGAAAGACCTTTTGAATAATGCCATGCAATAGTTTTGTTTTAAACTTGGTAATATCAGAAACATATAAAGTGATTTAAAAAGAATTTGGCAATACTTCATGGAAATGCTTTTCTTAATATTGTTGTTGGATAATAGTTGGATATTATTAACTGATAAAAATGGTAGATTTATTTATATTTGGATTGTGTGGCTAATTCTTCAGTTTTAATTGTTGGCTATTATTGACTAATTTCCAGTTTTAATTGGGTATTTTTTCATTATTTTTTAACTATTACTGCTAGCAGTTGGATTTGTCCTTAATCCACACTATGCTTGCCTTGTCAGACCATAATTATTTCATTAATGCTGTAGATGTATTTTCTTCTCTTCAGTACTTTCCAAAATGATTATCCAAAGATATGAGATTATTAGTATAAATATTAACCTCTGAAAAAGGCCCATTGAAATAATAGAAACATTAAAGGGATTAAATTATCAATAGCTTTAAAACTTTTAAACCTTCCAATACCAAATAATTTACACCAAAAATCATCTATTGACAATTTGGGATGACTAAATCAAATAGAAAATAAAGCAAAAATAACAGATATGTTAATAAGAAGTGAACAGTATGAATATTGATTAAAATGTGCTTATTAGATTGATCCATATTTGGAACACTGTTGAATTTAAATTTTAAAAACTATTCTATTATATGTTCGTTCCAGATGATGGCTGCATAGATAGCCAAAAACATTAGAAAATGAAAAAAATTTTGCTGGAACAGGCGGGAAGTTTTTTATTTTTACATTTATTCCAGTTAAAAAATGTTGTTATTAATGTGCTTATATTAGAAAAGAGGTTGAATGTGGAATTATTTCTTTATTCTGTTGATTATTTTTTGCCTGATCATTCAGCTCTTTACATTTTTAACTTTAGAAACATAAAAGCAAAATATTGTTATTTAATGTATTCTGAAATATATTCAATTTGATTAAGAAATTATTAGTATAAACTGTAATATTTCAGTATTCGAAAGTTATATTGTTCTCGTGTGAATGACATAAATAATCAGTTGTCAATACATGTAATATTTTAAATTTAATTTTACAAATATAGATTTCTTTTACAAAAATAATCTAATTATAATATATTATATATAGCAATGAAATAATTCCAGAAGATGAACAGCGATACAGTATTTTAAGTGATGGAACTTTAATGATAACTGAAGCTCAAGACTATCATGAAGGTGTTTATGAATGTAAAGCAAAAAATTTAGCTGGTGAAGTGAAATCTAGAGCTGCAAAAATGCAATATTACACTAACAAAGGTTTATCATTAGATTTTTTTCCTTATATTTTATCTACACAATAATTAATATTTTAAATTTTAATAGCCAAACTTCATTTTGTGGAAACTCCTTCCAATCTTAGAATCCAGTTAGGATCAATAGCTGTTTTGCCATGTAAAGCAGTTAGTACTCCGCCACCAACAATTAATTGGACCCATAATAATTTATTATTGTCGTTAACTTCTAGACATCACATTTCACAAAAAGGAACATTAACAATAGAAAATGTTGAAAAAAGAGATGCTGGAATCTATAATTGCATTGCATCAAATCAATTGACAAAAATATCTTCTTCAGCTCAGCTTACAATATTAGGTATATAATAATTTTATAATAGTTTTTAAAGTAAAAGACTGAATTTACAAATAATAATAAACAAATGGTTTAATTAACCGTAGTATTTAGCCCATTTAATAAAATTTATTTTAACATATAAATTATAATAATATAAAACATTATTATTTTTTAAAGCTGGAACTACTGTATAATTGATGAAAAACTGACTTTTCATACATTTCCTTTACTTTTCATATGACATTGCTGGAAATGTACAAAATGTCAGTTTTTCATCAATTAAAATTTATTTTAATTAATCAATTTAATATTGTAAAAAAAAAATGTTAAACATAATATATTTATTTAATAGTATTACCCACTTTTCTGGAAAGACCTCGAGATCAAGAAATTACTGAAGGTCGTACAGTAAATTTAACTTGTCGTGTGGATGGATTTCCTCGACCTATTATTTCGTGGGGAAAAGATGGTAAATTCATTTTTTAATTTAGTATTTTTATCTTATTATAATATTATTACATTTTTTTGTATCTTAAAAAGAAATATAACTCTTGCTTTTTAAATTTATATATCATTAAAGAAAATATTAAAATTTTATTAGGTGTTTTCCTAAAAATTAATTTTCTGAAAGATCCTATTCACAATATTTCTCTCCCTAAACAAAGTAATTAAAATTATTGAATATGTACAGTAGAACCTCGATTATCCGGACTAATTGGGGATGAAGGTAGTCCGGATAAGGAAAAATCCGGATAATCGAAAAAATACTTTAATTTGTCTTTTAATGATAATACAACACGTTTTCTTTTCGATGACATATCGGTGATATTAAAAGTAAATGCTGTATTTAAATTGTGATCAAATTTTTAAGAAACAAACGTTCGTATTGAATTTGGACTACTACTAACCAACGCTAACAGACTACCTATTGTTTAAAAGGCCCTCTGGTGGCGCAAGAAGACGGATTTCATAAAATAAAAAGCAGTTGAAACTGCATTTTTAAGAATAAAAATTTGACAAACTATTTATCGTTTTATGACGAGTAAAATTTTTTCGTCGCGTTCGCAGGTTTTAAGTAATGCATAAACCTTCGAGGCGCGAGGCATAGGCGGTGGCCCACGTCGTCCATGCCTTACGCCGCCCTTGGTCATAGAAATGATGTAATTTCAATATAAATTATTTATAAATACTGTACGTATGTCAAGTTATATTTTTATTACTACGTAAAATATATTTAAGAGTTTACGACCACTGTGCTGGGTGAGACGTTGTTAAAACAAAAAAAGTTATGCATTCAATCACGTACATAAACAGTGTCGTAATTCGCCAAGTGCAAATCAGCAAATTCGTAAAATTTTTGTTTATTTTGAACAGTCCGGATAATCGAAAATCCGGATAATGGAGGTCCGGATAATGGAGGTTTTACTGTATTTAAATATCTACAGATCTAAAAGTATTTTATTTAATGTTAGTCAAAATAGATTTAAGGGAAGGAATCAATCTTCAAATTTTCTACTTCAATCTTGTTCATATCAAAAAAATCTTCAGTTTTCATAAAATAGCTTTCTTGGTTAATAATTTTTTATTTACAAATTTCCTGACATGCTGGTACTTTATTGAATGATGATTTATTATCTATTTAGTATTTCTTATGAAAAATTGTATTAATAATGTCACATCAATACCTTTAAATGCAATATAATTTTAATTGCACACTAACATTTCTGGTCATCTTTAGCAACTTTCTTCAAGGAAGAAAAATACATTCTAAATAGAATGAATACTATCAGTATAGAACTTAATTTGATTTGCAAGTTAATGCATAGATCAAGATCATAATTGTTCAAATTAAATGCATGTGCCAAATGTCTGTTTTTCTGGTATTCATCCAAGTCATAAAATAATCAGCAAAAAATTACAATAAAAGAAAAGAAAAACAAAATAGTATAGGTTTAATATAAATAAATCTTATATCTTTCTGTATCATATTAGTAATATTTTCCATGCTCCCAATATTATTGTGTCAGTCTCTGCAATTGATTGCTTGCCCCTTTAGAGTTGCTTTGTAAATTTGACATGCTTCAGAATGTTTTATCTGCCTCATCTGATTTTCTCTATTATTTTATCTTGGTTCCAAGCCACTGAGATAGAAGTGGGATCAGCAAGCACATATGCTGTGAGCTCTGTATTAGGGTTGGCTTTATTGATGGTATCTTTATACTCTTTAATCTAGAGCACAAGCAATCAATTACAGAGACTAGAACACAATATTGGGAGCATGGAAAGTGTGAGAAGCTGGGGGCCAAAGGGGTTCCCTATAGACCACTTATTCGACAAGTCGGTAAGACCCACTCACTTTGTCACTGGATGGCTTTTGTAGATTATCAGAGACAAGGAAATCAAGAGATTTCTGTCTCCTGTCAGGGTCTGACACCAGTTAAGATAGAGTTAAATGTGTCCTAACTTGTGATTATTCAGATCTATTCAGTTCACAGAGTTAAAAAAAAAGGAGGGCTATTAGTTGAGTGGGGGAGGATCATGGGTAAGTTGATGACGTATCAGCTGATCCCGAAATAAAGAGACCGGCTTTAACTCAACAAATTTACTATAAACTATAATAAAAATTACAGAGGACAAACATAATAAAGTCACATAACCTTAATGTTAGTTTTGTGTATCATAAGCTCAAGATGAACAATTATAGCGAGTAGCTATTTCCATAAGAACTAAATCTAACTTATATTCTAAGTCGACCGAGAGAGTTAATAATTCTATGTAAAATACCTGGGAGAGAGTGATGATGCCTCGTGATCCTTTTTATTTGATGTTGGTAAGACGATCATGGTTCTAGTCGAGGTATTGTTGGGCCATTGTCGAATTGTGTAGGGAAGACGAGAGTTGAGCGGATGGAAGTGGACCGATCACTTCTTGGCAAATGTCTGCCTCTATTATGATGGGACAGGTCTGGGAGAGGTTGTTCCCAGTGGATGATTGCCCCAAAGTTTGGATGCTTTGTTGTTATATGCTCTTTAGGACTGGGAAAATGATCAGGTGATTGGATGTTTTTGGAGATGAAGTTGCAGCTGTTGGGTCATAAGTGAGCTGGTGATGACAGTAAGATGTTGTCTAAACAGGCAGATAGGGTAATGTTTGGTTTGTGAAATGTTAGATTCATCCTGTTTACTCGTTCAAAGGTTGACATTCCTCTCTTTTAACAATAGATTGTTATAATTTATTTGCATTTGTTGATGAGAAGGGTGACATTCAATCCTTTTTTGTGTGTTGTTTTCTTAACAATTGCGATGGAGAAATTGGTTAAATTCTCCTTAAATTGAAGAAAGGTCAGGTCCTCAACCTCACAAAAGCATTATCATGATACAGAAAGATATAAGATTTAATTGTTTTCGGTTTCTTGTATTCTGTATTAGACTGAAGATTAATCTTATCTTAATTGCAAGTACAGTATTTGTTAAAAAGTTAAATCTTAATCCATCAAAATAAGACAGAGTTGTAAAACCAGTGAGAAGTATAGTTAAGCACTTGGTGTCATTTCTTCCAAACATAAGAATAGATAATTGTCAGTCCAGTGGGTTGTCAGCCTGCCAACAACTATTTGTATAGTGTTTTTACTTTTGTTTGTTATTTAAAATTGGATAACCATCCCCAATATATAACATGTACTCTTGCAAATTATCTTTCAAACAGAGATAACCTGTGGATTAGCCACCCAAAATTATGGTAAATACAATCAGTTATTTTTTAAAACATTTTAATGAGAAATATAAACAATTTTTTTAGATTGCTTATAATTTTACATCATTGTAGAAAGGAAATGTTACATTTAAATTTTCTTTATACAAATTATAAGTTATTGAAAATTATTATACAAATTTAAAATTATAGAAATGAATAATTTTATAATTATTTTAGAACAAAAATTTTGAAATAAGAGAAATGTTTTTATATTAAATTAACAACCTATAAATTATTATTTGAAAATGGCATATTTTTCAAAAAGAATTTTAAAAATGTCTGTGTAATTTTGTTTTTTAGGACAACCACTCAACTTAACTAGTGGACATTTTGAAGTGTTTGATGAGGGTAATATGTTACGTATTTACAACACTCAAAAATCAGATGAGGGTTTCTATCAGTGCCAAGCAGAAAATGAGATAGGGCAAAGAAATTCAAGTGCTTTTCTTTTTGTTAGAGAAAAAGGTATGATATATATAATTTTATTACAGATAGAAATAGTTTTTATTCTAAAATCAAAATTTAAGAAATTTAGTATTATTATTAAAATATATAAAATTTTATGAAAGATTATATACCAAGTGTTTAGTAAAAATGTACTCTTCCTTTGTCAGTAGTGCTTGATAAATCAAGAGTGTCCCCCCAGCATAGCACAAAAAAGGGTTTTTCTGTCATTTTTTTTAAATATTATATGGAAAAAGTTTTGGCTGTTGCACTTTAATTGCTTTAGGGATATTATTTTTTGTCAGGACAGAAGTGGAAAACCTTTTTAAGTGCATGTATAGGGTTCCTAAGCACCTGGCACAGTTGGGAAAAGTCAGGAACTTTCATTATTGTTTGGACAAAGTTATGGAAAGTCAGGAAATTTGTCAAAATTTGCCTCCTTGGCTGCCTTGTTGATTTTTTGCTGACAATATGCCTGACTAAGTGTAGTTGTCTGCAGGCAACAAGAAGTAATGTTGTGTAATATAGCTTATGAAAAGGGATGCAGAATATTTTCAGGTTCCAAAATTTCTCCCAAGTACAGTAGAGCGTTGATTTTTCTGAATCAATTGGGGACTGGGGTTGTTCATATAACTGATATTTCGGATAACCGATTTATATACGAAAAAATAGTTTAACGTATCCGATGTTAAAATTTTTATCCGTTGCGTGTTGCTTCGCGTTGAATTTTCGTCCATGTTAAGCCTAACAGAGACTATTGTATTGTTAAAAATTAATTTTTTATTTTGTACAAACAAAATAAATATATTGAAAAATATAAAAACAATAAAAAATTATACTTCAGATGTTAATTTAGTATCAAAAACGTAAAATATTTGAGTAGCCCAAGACATAGCCAAAGATTGAAGCGCCACAGCACTGGTGAAAATTTAAATTTGCAGACTGGAATTCTTTCGGATGATTGACTTTCAGAAAATTGACGCTCCACTGTATACACAAAATTTCTCCAAAAATTTACAAAGTACAAAAAACGATGATAAATAATACCATTTAATTTAAAATTATTTATCATTTTTAATTTTAATAATTTTGATTGTATAACAAAACAATTTCTGATTTTTTTTTCCCATTTATTAATATTTTATAAAGTTCAGGAAATTTACTAAGAGATAAATTTAATAAATATATACTTTCGTATATGGATTATACAGGATTTGTTAATGAATAATAAATAAATAATTTGCTTTTTCTTTTTTTCAATTCCATGTAGATTTATGGTTGTGGATTAATAACAGAATAAACTACAGTCAAACTTAGTTATAATGAGCATTAGGGAACTGGCAAGATTTCTTTGTTATAACCATTACTCGTTATATTCGTAAAGAGCAGTGACATAACTAGGGGGAGAATGGGTGGCTTCTTTGGGTGCAAACACATAGGAAGTGCCTTACAGGCAGCAAAATTTGTAGCTACACCACTGATAATTAATGAAATCTATCTTTTAATTTTTAATTCTAAATAAGTTGATTCAAAAAATATATAAATATATGTAATTACATTACATTGTATTTTTATTAATAGTTATATAAACTACAATATAATTAATATTTAATAATTTATTTTTTCTTAATTAAAGTTAATACTAATTAACATACTAATTAACAATAATTAACAATCAGTCTTTTGACTGTTTTTATCTGCAAATCTTAAACTTGATGACTGCTTTATTTTTTGATAATGTCAATACAGTCAAAGATGACAAAGAAAACTTTCTATGCACTTTGACATTTTTAGCACCACATTGTACTTGTGAATAATTTCTACTTTTTTTGTAAAATGAGAGAGATTTTATTTTTATCATAGACATTTTTCTCATATAAGGGTTTGTTTTTAATCAGAGTATATGGCAATTTTACATTCATAGTGTTGTGCTGTAGCATACCAAAGTAAAACAGTGTGAAAGTGAGGATAAGAATGATAAGGACTGCACAAAAAGATAAGGCACAAAACAAATTTAATCAGAGAACGATGTAATTCTGAGGTTCATTTACATTTTAAGTTATAGATGGGAATTCCGTCACCCTTTCTAGCTCGACACGAGAACAAAAAAACGATCTAACATAACTTACGCGATGCGACAATCAGGGATCTTTTAGGTTAGGACTAATACAATATTCTTACATCGACGATGATAGTTGACCCCTCCGTGTAATGTCTCTCTCTTGGTACGCTGATTTCCACTTCCATGTGGTTGTTCCTTCCTTCCTCTTTCCTTTCGCACTTCAATTCAATTCTTCTGTCGCAGACCGGACACTGTCCAGGAGAAAAAAAGGTACCTCATACACATGGTTCTTCCATTTATATCCCGCGCCATGTACATGACGTGGTAACACACGTCAGAGCGCAGGGGCCAATCGCGAGCATGACCACCACCACACCGCAAGATGTGATGCATATTTACAGAATAAAATTACAACACACACCGATACGCGACAATACGAAATATATAGATATATATATATAATGACGACAATACATATACTTAGTGATAATCACTACAATAGTGATGATTAGGTAAATTGGCAGAGTAGTGCCAGAATCTAGTCAAGAAAGAGGGGGATGGTTTCCAAAAAGAAAGTTAAGTGATAAATAGGCTTGTAATTCATGCAGGTCATAAAACTGATTATCCAGTGATCATAAAACTAAGTAATCCTCTCAGTTTTATCTCTTTCACGAATTTGGTATCAATTTCTTACTACTAGAACAATTAAGAATGTTTGTGTGTTTGCTTAGCTACTGAAAATTTGCTTGGTATATCCGTAAAATACCCTTGTTATAACTCTGAGCAAATGTATGGAGATATATGTAAATTAAAATTTTCATGGTGTTTTGCTCATTATAACCATGAACTCATTATATCTGTGTTTATTATAACTGAATTCAACTGTACTTTAATTTAATAAAACATTTTATTTTTAGTTTTAATAATTTGACAATAATAAAAAAATATATAACTGTTAAGTAATTTGGTAAAATAACTAATTAAAAAGTTGGAGAAACAATGGCATATATGCATAGTAAGTCAAATGCTGTTTTATTTTATCAATGTGCTATATTGTAAGGGATGTGAGGGTCAGGAAATTTGTACAAAGTTGGTCAGAGGAAAGTCAGGGAATTTAAAAGAAAAATTTGAATAGGACCCCTGTATGTACTGTACCAAAATCATCAAATCTTTTTTTTAAAAATTTTATCACATGTCAACTGAAATTTTTGGGAATATATTATTATTTAGTGTCTTAAATATTGAGAGAACCTTTACAAATAATCAAAAATCCATGTGTAAATATAGTTCTAAAAACTAGTTTTAATTTTATTTGTCCATCTAACTGATTTTATTCATCAGTTGATTCATCCAGCTTGTGTTTTTTCCATGGCTAGCACAATATACTTCAGAGACATCTATCATATGGTTGACAAGAGAATCAATTTCTAATAGAAAAAATGATCCCTAAAGCATTAACGCTTGGCAGTCAAAACTTTTTCACATAATACTTTAAAAAATGACAAAATCCTGTATTTCATGCTGTGTTAGGCAGCATTCTTATTTTGTCAGGTATGCTCCTATGGTGAGTTTTTTACCAAACATCTGGTGTATATAATTTATTGAAAACTTATTAGGCAATTATATATCTGTTCATTCTTTTCAAATAATCTTGCTCTTTTAACATTTAACTAAAAGAAATGCTTTAGGCAGAAAATTAATTTTTACAAATAAAGACTATTAAAATAAAATTGAATAGTATTAAATATTGCTACTTTACAGCACCACCTGTATTTTCTCGAACACCTGATGATATGAAAGCTATAATTGGCTCAAATATTGAGTTACCATGTCATGCCAAAGGTGATCCACCACCACGTATAACTTGGAAAAAAGATGGAATAATACTTAAAATGGAAGATAATCATCATCATGTCAGTCAAGCTGGAGATTTATATATGTTTAAAGTTCGAAAACAGGATGAAGGATTTTATGAATGTGTTGCAGAAAATGATATTGGATTTGCTTCTGTCTCAATGCATCTGTCTGTCAGAGGTGAGAAGTTGATACTTGCATTTTAAATATTTTTATTAATTTTACGTAATGCAAATGATTATTTACAGAATATTCATAGTTTAATACACATCAGATATAATCATAGTATTATATTACCAAGTGAAAGCTACATTATATTTTAAAACAATAAGAATTATATGTAAGATGTCTCATTTTAACCAGAAAAGTCAAACATCTGAAAAACTAAGCAATACAAAAAAAAAATGCCTGAACAACAGTTATAAGAACCAGAGGGAAAAAATATGACTGTTAGTCAAGGTCATGTAGATGTCATATTTTCAGTGTCATAATGAAAAAATGTTTTTCAAATGGAAATCCTATTCTCAAGTTTGTCTTGTTAAAATACTCAAAAATATGCTATGTTGATTTGTTTCATGTGTTTTTAGTGACATTGTTTGATGATGTGCCATCAGCATTATTTTTATCTATATTGTATCTGTTACCTAGTGGATGTTGCAATCAGATTTACATCTTTCTGAAGATGTTATTTGTATGTGTGTATGTCCAAGTGTGAGGACCTTTGCTTTTTTAACTTTAATATTGTTAGTTGTATGTATTTCTTAAAATCTGAAGTTTATTTTTAAATTTCTTTTACAAAAACTGTTTAATATTGCCACCATTTTTCTCAAGGCAAAGCATTACTCTTTGCTAGAAATTTTTGAGAAAACTGTGAATGGAACATGATGAGGAGTGTTTTTAATTTGCTCTTTTGTTTTTATCAGTGATGGCAATTCTTTGATCTGTATGATGATTTTAAGATACCCATATTGAAAGTATTAGTTTTTAGAAATTATAATAGATGTCGTTTGCACACATCCCGCAACTCACTTCGATCTCGATTTACCTACAATCTGGATTGTAACTGTCACCAGACGAACGTCAAGCTGTTCGCACAGGCAGTCCACTTGAGAAGAACCCGGCTATTACATGCGATGATAAAACTGACATAACTACACAGTTAGTCACGAACACCAACAAACAAAGTTTTTGTTAGAAATAAATACTTTTTCTTGCCATATATCTAATAATTGACAGAATGCATTCTCTCTCCAGATGTCTTATTTATTTCTCTGTTGATAGCCTGACACATGTTCTGCAGCCATCTTGTATTTTCTCACATGCATGGGATTGTCGGATCTCTCCTATGACTGGATCTAGTTTCAAGAACTCTCGAGTCGATCGCGATTGAACCTCATTTCAGTCGAGATTGAAACAGTTGAGAGAGGTCACACCACGACATAGTCGCCAACCTTGGTCACAATCTAGATCAGGGGTGTCCAACCTTTTTGTTCTTCTTGGCCACATTAAAAGAAGTCATGGAGTTTTGGGCCACAAGTATATACAATATATTTGTGACCCAATCCTTAAATATACAAGTATATTTAAGGATTAACATGTCTAGATTATAGTAATAAATATTAAAACTTTATCACGAATAAGGATATTTTAAAAAATTACTTCTACAGACCCTTTCAATTTTTACTTAGAAATAAATAAATTCATTTATTATAAAGGAAACAAACAAAAATTTATTTGAAAAACACAAATATTTGTTTTATTTGGGTCTCTAATTAATAAAAAACGACAAAACACCATTTTAAAGTGCATTTTTATTCGACTAATATATTTATAAATAATATGTAGCCCAGAAAGTAGCCAATGCGCAAAATGAAAATTTTTACGCCAAACTGAAAAAAGGGTAGCCAAATCTTTCAATGGTCTTTCAATGCTGGAAAGAATATAAAATAATGCTGGAGTTGGAACTCAAAGGATTATAGACCCAAATTTGAGAAAAGGAGAGAGGGGCCAAAAGATAAAAAGTATGATAAAGGTTAAATAGACCTTCTGTTATGCAAATATTGACCCTTAATTTTCCAACCTTCCTCACTACTTTTTATCTTTTGGCCTTTCTCTCCTTTTCTCAAATTTGGGTCTATAATCCTTTGAGTCACAACTTCAGCTTTATTTAGTATTCCTTCGTCATTCACACATCTCCAAGTATTTGAAAATATTTCCTTTTCACTCAAAAATAAAATATGTATAAAAGTTTACAGCTTTGTGAAATTTCTTTTTTAAGTTTAGGCCGTTGAAATAAGTAAATAAACAAAAATAAAAGAATTTGTTGGTTTTGTTTACACGTTTATTGGGCCGCATTGGAACTTGCCTTGGGCCGCATGCGGCCTGTGGGTTGGACACCCCTGATCTAGATCAAAATACTCAGTGCAAACGGGGTATTAGACAGTGGTGATTACTAAATGTGTAGACTGTGCCCATGCACAAGGCCCCAAATTACAGGGACTCAGTTCTGTAAACTCTAGGTCCTAGCTATGCCCTATGTAATTTATTTTTTGCTAAAATAAAAACTTCAGCAAATGTGTAAACCATTTTTGTTTTGCTGGGCAATGCCTTATTTGCATTTTTTGTCTGGGTCTTTTCTGTTGCTTTTCCCATTGTCAGTGTCTGTGATTTTGTGTCACTGCAATGTATGTAGAATGTGTTTTATGCATTTTCTGTTTACGAAGACCAAAGGTCATCTGCATCTATTGTGTAAAGAATATCTTATTTTACAATTTGCTAAATTCTTCTAATATGTCAATAGTGCTTCATGTGAAACACAAGTCATCAGGAGTCTCATTCCCTTTCACTTTTCTGTACCCATTGGTAGCCAAGTAGTCTAAATTTGGGTAGTTGATAGAAGATTTGTACCTCACCAACATGCTGGCCATCTGGAGTTTTCTGGGTTTTCATTATGTGTCTAACACCTAAATAGTTTCCCCCATAGAAAGTTCTTCCAGGAGGCATTTTCCTTTGGCAGATTGCTCATGTGTTAAATTGCCATATCCATCAAACAAAAGAAATCTTTTCTACTTTTCCAAGAACTCTTGCTTAAAAACTGAATAAATGTAAAGGCTAGTGTGCATGAATATGTGAACAAACTTTTGCAAGTTGAAATGGTAATGCAGAAAATCTAATGTCAGATTTTTTGCACATTGTCACATCATCAAACCAATTAATGATAAAATTGTGAAATCATCCATTAGATCATGTTCTTATCATTCTTGAGAGAAATAAATGTTTTGTGCATGCTCTCAGTTCAGAATGATTTAAAACTCATTCCAGCACATTGTATAAACATCTGCATTGCTGATAAATCTTGTCAATGTATTCTTGAATACAAAAAATGTCAACAGTTGTTTACATTTAAATAAATTATCTAAGCAACTTAAGGTGTAGTTGGGTGGTCTGTCAACAGTAGTCTTATCAGAAGTCTTTAATAGCTACTGACTTCAGAAAAATTAAAATCAAATAAATAACAGAAGATTTCTCATTAAACAAAATATTTATTTCTGTTATTAGCAGATTATTATTTTTGTTTCACTATTTATTATTTTCATTATTTTCTTTATATAGAGTTTTAAATTTATATCAGAAAATAACAATAAAGTTAAAATTATAAGCAATTTTTTATTGTTTTTTTTAATTACTCTAATATTTGACTCCTTTGGAAAAGTTATGCTATCACTATTTGATGCTGTTGTTGGTTGCATCACAATTTTGCAGTGGCATTCCGTCCTTGGAAGTGGTGGAAGTGCCGCCTCCCTTGTATTTTCTAAAATATAAATACATATTGCATGTTTATATTCATATTTTAACGTACTTTGAATGAATTAAAATTAATATTTTATTATAATTGCATTATGTATCTTATTACAAATTTCTATACTATGTTTGAAAAAACCATAAGATTGCTATTGTATATTCGAATATCAGTGGCGGAATGGAAGCGCTGTATTGTCAAAACTGGGTCAGCTTCCAAGCAGCCAGATTATAAGCATTTGCGCATGCACTTTACAGAGCACCAACCTCACCCAGTTTAGCTGATGGAAGCTACACACCAAAATATTGTATAATGCTTCCAATGATTTTATCTAGGACTGGTTCTGGGCTGTTAACCGCCTGCTGGCTAGATATTTGGCTGCCCTCGCCTGATTATGTGAATCATGAGTAGATTTATAACTTAATCCAACCAATAGAAATTTACTGGTATGTTCTTATGATAGTTCTGTATAGTTGACAGGAGTTTTAAAAAAAATCCATTAAAATATTTGATATATTTGTTATGCTCTCCCGTCTTATATTACTTACGAATTTCAATGTTAAACTAGTGATGTTACGATTTAGTATGTTCCATCTATAAGTGGATGCAGAAAAAATGTGTACAATTCTTGTACAATGTTAAAAAATTAACTGTTACTTTGGCAGCATCATTTACAACTAAATTTAATGAATGAGATGCGTGAGGTACAAAAAAAGCTGCAGAATTTATATTCCTTAAATTTACGATTTATGTATCGTTGTCATAAAAATTTGTCTTTCCACTTCTTTCCCAAGATTACAAATATTCGAGTACAAAGCAACTGGTTTCAACTTATTTCTACTTAAGTAGTAGTTAAATAATTAAGAGATTAGGGAATTAGGGACATAAATAAAACCCTGCCAAAAGAGCTGAAATTTTACTTAAAAGCTTAACTGAACCAATGTCTAGCCAAGTACAGTGGGGTCTGATTTCTTTGAAATATTAGATGTAATAAAGACAGAAATTTTTCCAGTTCAACAAGAGTGTTAAGTTGTAAGTTGAAAAGTTGTAAAGTTTGGAAATTTCCATGGACACCTGGTCCTAAAACGAATCAGTTAGAAAACAAATGACGGACAATCTATTATGTTTAGCATATGTAGATTTTTACAGCTATGGTGAGAAACGTTTAAAATTTACAACCCTGTCGTGTCCTTTGACATATACTAGTGATGCGACAAAAGAGGCATTTTACATTGACCGATATCGGCACCCTTGAGATTTGGCAGCCCACGTGCATGCATGCACTGCACACCTACCAGGACTGTCTCCGATTCCATTCAGTAGTCACTCTTAGGGAGCTATTTCACTAAATGGATTGTAAAGAATATTTTGTTATTTTTATGTACGTTTCTTTATAAAGTTATATTTAATTATAAGTTTCTTTTAAAGTATATTAATACAATTGAAGAATATTTTGTACCAGGTATGTATATCCACCACACATTTTATTTTAACAAGTAAGTTTTTATAATTTTATTTTTAATTTTAGCCCTTGTATTGTGGCTAGCGATTCAAAATGTAATTGTGATATTGAAAATTTATTTTAAAAAGTTTTGGCTCGAGACCATATAATGAAAAAGAAAACATTATTATAAGAGAAAGACCAATGCCTAAATTAATTATAAATACATCAACAATAAAATTTATGAAGACGTAAAATGGCTTTGTGGATGCATAAAAATGCAAAAATTGTTTTGTCGGCCTTGCCTACTATTTTCAAATGAAATTACTGTGTGGAATAAGAATGGCTTTGATGATTTAAATAATTTGGGTAAAGCTGGCAAAAGACACAAAAATCGTAAATGTCACATCGATTATTTTGTAAAATTGAAGCAATTTGGAAATTAAAGCGGAATAGAATTTAACATTAGTAAATAATATAAAATAAATATTGAAAATTATAACAAGATAATTATGGCTAATAGATATATTATATGTAAATTAATAGATATTATATGTTTTCTCTCAAAGCGAGAATTGGCATTTAGAGGGCATAGGGAATTTATTGAATCTAATAACAAAGATAATTATGTTGAACTTGCTTATTTATTAAGTATGTCAGATAACCTATTAAAAATACATTTAAAGAAGTGTACGGTTTTTACTAACTTATCGAACAAACAAATATGAATGGACCCTGATGCGCAATTAACTGATTGCCCTGTAAGTCGACTTCTTATACAGCTTCCCTATCATCAAATGTCATAGCACACCACTGCAATTTTGATGTTCAATACACTACATTTTAGATGTAAACTCAAAGGAAGAAATCAAGTGGTGTTTGATCAGATCTTGCAAGCTACGAAACAAAACCTTCTTGACCAATCAGCAATTCGGAAAGATTCAGTAATTAAGGTGAACTCTGGCATCTTGATTGTGTGTGTGTGTGTGTGTGTGAGTTATGCACCACATTACATAGCAACAGCAAACTTATTTTTCAAGATATCTAAGACCCACCAAAAGTGCTTTGAAAAAAGTATGCATCAACAAGTTACCCTATTCATAATATTGCACCAAATGTTAATGTACAGTACCACCAGTGCTGTATATCAATCTGGCATATCCCTCAGCAATTATTAGGTATCAGTGGTAAAAATTGTGGCAATTTACAACTGCATTGCTAAGAAATGTTGCTTTATCTCTAAAAGGCATACTTTTGAAGAAATATTATTATTCAATTTTGTTGCCATGCCTGGGGATAAGATGTGACCATACTGCAACTGTCTCCTGTTCAAATAATGCTTGGTAATGAATTGATCTTAACATTTGATGTGTGGTTGATATAGGTATGCCCAAGTCATGTTCTATTTGTCAAAAATTAATCATTATACAGTTAAACCCCAGTTTTTGAACAAATTGGTTCATGAACAGAATTTCAAACTCATATTTGTTCCAGTTGCCATACAATAACTCAGTTCTTGAACAAACTATTTGGCAAGAGCCGACCACAAATTAGAGAGACACAGACAGTCAACTTCCTATACTTCCTATGTTAAAGAAAGTCAAGGACCCGACCAATCAGCAACAGGACTACCAATTCAGAAATTAGTGGTGCTGATATTGTCCACTTCATTAGACATCATGATACAAATCATTGATGACTATTTCAATGTAAATCCATCTCTGTAATCCAAAAAAGCACCCTTTGGTAGATGTATCTCACAGAAATTGCTGTGAGATACGTCTACCAAAGGGTGATGTAAGTTTGGATTACAGAGACAGATTTACATTGAAATATACCATACAGCAAGCCAATTATATATCATTGATGACATTGCTATTTAAATTCAATTTCAGTGCAAATGTGGGAAAGATACTACTACTACCCTTTTTGGTATTCATTGCAGTTGAATTTAATTTAAATTAATAAAAACCACATTAATTGACGTTCAGGTAATATAAATAGCATATAAAAATTTATCTCTAAAGGTGCTTAAGTCAAATTAAATAACAAAAATTTTTTATATATAATACAGCATTACATTATATACAAGATATTATTGTATATAATGTATACAATAATTGTTTGAATGTAATATTTTACATTGCATTTGTAGGCATTTTTAGCATAAAATATGGCTAAAAAAGTAAAAACAAGCTTTATTTTGGGGGTCGAGAATGGATTAACCCATTTTATATTGTTTTTAATGGAAATTTGTTTTGGTTTTAGAATAATAAATCAGTTTTTGAACAACATTTAGGAATGAATTATGTTTGAAAACCAAGATTTGACTGTATATTATTGCCAATATTACTATTGCACAATTATTATTAATTACATAGTTTTCATTGGTATTTTAAATTTTGTGTCTTTCTCAATACAGTAATTCCTGTCAAGCTCTTCATTCTAGTCAAACAATTGATGAAGTGTTGGAATAGCTTCTGTGTGGAAAAATGACTTCAATAAGTAGAAGCTGCTCTTCTGTAATTATGTCAGCACTTGGCTGTAGTTTGGAAAAACTGTAGATCTATAAATTCCCACTATCACAGTCTGTCCCTCCATCTGTCTCCTTCCTTAATCTTGATAATGGAGTTAGAGAGATGAAAGCCAAGACCATATATGGAAAGATTAGGGGCAGGAAGCCCCGATTAACTATATACAAACTTTCAATGCAAACTGGAAGTCACGTTATTTAAATTCAAAAATTTTCTCCCAAAAGGAGTTAGCAATAGTCATTCCAATCATCTATCTAACAGGAAAGATATGATATATGGGGACAAGCCACTACTAATTTGAGGTGGAAAGCATATATTTTAAATTAAATAAATTAAAAATTGCAGCCTGGCATTGTGATGATAATACAATAAATAATTGCTCATTTAGTTTTTTAGATATTTGATTGTTCTGTTTAAAATGGAACAGCCTGTTCTGTTATTTTATTTTGTGTAATATTAGATTATAAATTTGAGTGTGCTTGCTGTTGATTTTATATCTTTTGTTTTGTTGTTATGTTGTGAAACTAAATATGTAAGGTTGTTAGTACAGTTGATTTTAAAATTATCATTAAACTGTTAAATTGAATTTATTGATTTCCATCATTTTAAGAAGACTGTACATATAAAAAGCATGTTTGATAGACTATGATTTATTTGAATGAGAGTCTGTAATAATATTTTTTTTTAAATTATTTTTGTCATATATTATAATTGTTGGGTTTCTACCAACTGTGTACAAATTACAGGTGTGATTATATAAAATTTATTACAGATGTTTAAATTTCTTCAAAAACATTTTAAAAATTTACTATTAACTTAAATTATGTAATTTGTTACAGATGCACCTTATGGTATTTATCCCGGAGATCGTTATTTGGTATCATCTGTAGAAGAAGCACGGTTAGAAGTAGAGAAAGCTATAAATCATACAATTAATCAGTTATTTAATAGTACAAGCCCTCGAAGACCTCCCGAATTATTACATATATTTCGATTTCCTAACGAAGATACACGTAATTTGATTCGTTCTGCTGAAATATATGAAAGGGCTTTACAGATTGTATGGAATAAAGTTGAAATGGGAATAAAATTAAATTTATCAGGTAAGTCGATTTAAAATTTCAAAAAGAAAAAAGTGATGTTCATATAAATAGTTTTGATAAAAGTGAGTTATAAAGATAAAAAATTAATTTGAAACAATTTACTACAATAAATTGCTAATCTACAAACTACAGTTTATTTTAACTTGCTTAGTTGTATATTACTCTTGCCTTGAAGATTATATGCTAAGTCAATTTTCATTTGTATTTGCATTTTGCAAGTATAAAATATATTCAAAGTAGAAAAATTGTTGATCTGTTTACTTTTATTGTAAAATTCAGAATTCTAATTTTTAATTAATTTTTACCAACTTTACTGTTTATTTCTATGTAACACACAACAACTTGATTAAAATTAGCCAAATATTTCATTTAATTAAAAACAATTTTATTTTACACAATTATTTTACTTGTTTCCTACTTACTTACTGTCATAACTTATTTATGTTTTCTTATCATTAAATAATGTGTGATAAGTTATATTGTCTTTATTTTTAATATTGGTGAATAACCCAATTAGCACTTTAATTTAGAATCATTAGTTTATAGGTAAAAGGGTGTTTTGTAGCATTTTAATGTTACTTGGAGAATATAGTGCATTTTTAATAGGGTGACTGCACTATGTTGGAATGAGGTTCAAATTTTGACTCTAATAAATAATGGAAAAACTCATCCTTATTTATGAGATTTTAATTTACAAAAAGTTTCTAGAGACAAAGTATGCTCATAAATTACTGTAATTACTTAAACTTTAATAACTATTTACTTATTACTTTGAGTTAATTAACTCTGAAAGAAAAATAATTGTAATTGATAACATTATAAATATATATTATTGATAAATGGTATCTGTTCTAGTTAATTAAAAAAAAAGAAACAATTTTATCTCTATATAATGCTTTTAGGAAGATACATTTTTTGTCTAAAATTTCAGTTTTGTTAAAAATTTTCAGCTTATGTTTACAAATGTTTGAAAATTGTTTTGAAAAATTGTAAATATAAGCTGAAGGTGGCCTAAACTAGGTTGAAAACATTTCCATTAGTAAGGATTTGAATAAGGTAAAATGTGCATTAATTGTATATTCTGAATTTTGCTACAAATGAATCTGTTCAGTCAGTGCCATAACTAGGAAGGAGCAAAAGGTGCACCCTGTGCAGGTGCACCTTTTGCTCCTTTCGTTCCATTTGGAAAGGGAGCCCAAAATGCATGTATTTGTTTTATTATTTCCAAAACCTAATTAATTAAGGGGCCTAAATGCAAATTCTTGCCCAGGGCACAGGAATGGCTAGTTACGGCACTGTGTTCAGTATTATTTAGAAATTTTCCATACATATTCATTCAATTACTAATTCTTATATTGATTATCATTTGATTATTAAAATATATTATATACATATTTTGTAAAGAAAAGTAAAAATCATGGACTAATGATTTAACATGTCCTTTTCCTTAATTCATATTGATCAGAGCCAGGATACTTAATCAACTCTTATAATACTTTTATTCAACAACAATGCATTTTGGATTGACATAAAATTGTTTTTATCTCTCCTTGGGCTGCAAAAGTTTTAAAAACTATATAAATATTTCTTAAAATTATAAAACCTTTTGCAAGAAAACAGTAAGGACAAACCTCATAATACTTCAGAAATTTTTATACTATTTTACAGGATAAATTGTACTTGTAGAGATAAAGTATATTATGTAGGAAATATCAAAAGACGATTAAAAGGAAAATTAAAAGAGCATTGAAATAGCCATCAAATTAATTATTGTCATTAGTCTCTGTGAATAATACATTGTGAAGAAAGTAAATGCATTATTGATACAAATAGTATAAAAAGTTTATATAGAGAAAAGATTTATAGTTGAGAAGATTCAGAGAATATATTGCAATAATTCAATGTAAATATATTATTAATTTAAATAAAGGGATTGAAATCATTGATGTATTATATGACATCATGCTTAATTATAAAAAGTGCTGCAGATGTGAGCAGTGGCATAGTGAACATAACTGGCACCTGGGGCACGACACTTTATTGGCTCCCCCTCCAGAAACACCTATAGTTTATCTTGGAGACCATTTGGGCACCCCTCTGCAAGTGGCGCCCGGTGCATGATACACCCCCTTGCACCCCCTTCGCCACGCCACACCACGCCACTGGATGTGAGATAGCAAATAAAGTATTCTTTTATTAATGTTTTATAAGGTATTGAAGTATTATGAAGTTTGTTCTTATTGTTCTCTTTCAAAAGGTTTTATAATTTTAAGAAATATTTATATATTTTTAAAACTTCTATAGCTGTGGAGGGATTGAAACAATTTTATGTCAATCCAAAATGCATTGCTGAATAAAAGTATAAAAAGAGTTAAGTGTCTTGGACTCTGATCAATATGGATTAAGGAAAAGGATGTGTTAAATCACTAGTCTAAGATTAAAAGAAGAAAAGTTTTATATATTTTGTATTAGGCATTATTTTTAATAAAATCACCTATATAATTATTACTTCATCATGTAAGATTTTTTTCATCTGATGTATTTTTATAGCTACTGTTTAAGTAATTGTTTTAAAGTTAATTTTCTATTTATCTTTGAATTATTTATCTTAAAACAATTACACAAATTAAATTTTTATTTTTAAATTAATTATATATGTAATTTTAATTTTCAGAATTTTCATATTACGACATTTTATCACCACATCAGTTAGAATTGTTGGCAAACTTGTCTGGTTGTTTAGTTCATCGACCAAAAATAACTTGTTCCGATATGTGTTTTCATAAAAAATACAGAACATACGATGGTACTTGCAACAATTTTGATAATATTATGTGGGGAGCATCATTGACTCCATTTCAACGTCTTCTTCCTCCAATTTATGAAAATGGATTCAATACGCCAGTAGGTAAGATATCCATTTGCTTTAAATTAAGAAAAAATTTGACACTATAAAAGAAATTAAATCTTATGTTTAATATCAATTAGAAACACATTATAACAATATTTATATATCAATAATTACAAAAAGTATTATATAAATGATTTCCTGTGTTTTAAGTTACTTAGGGCTCTAATCAAATATAATAGTATTGACATACACGCACCAAATCAGATTGAAAACAAACTGCACAAAGCTGTATACTTTAAGATATACTGTATTTGTAAATACTTTAGAATGCAATGTAAATGTCAAATCACCTGAAGAATATAAACAGAATAAGAATTTTGTAACATAAAAATTTAAAAGCTGATCATTTTTGAATCAGATGTTTAATTAAAATGATAATTTAAAATGCAAATTTCCTAAAAAAATTTTTTATAAAATACTGATTTCTTACTACTGTCTTACTTCATGATAAATTTTATAGTTGCATTGTTGTATTATAATTTAGGAGTATAACAGAAATATTTTAAAAATATTGTAGATAATGATTTTATTCCATTCTATTGAACTGATATTAGCTAATATTTCACTTACTGTGCTGCTTGTTTGTAGAAATTCTTCCTTATTCTCACATACATTTCTTATAAATACTGTATTTTTTATTCATTAATTAAATCTGGTTTATGTGCCAGTAAATCAAAAAACAACCAAAGAACAAAAATCAATCAATTTATTTGGAAAACTAAAGTGATGATAACTAGCTAATATCCAGAGAATAAACCTTAATATATTAACCAATCATAGGAAGGAGCGGCCGGATGGCCGAGCAGTCAAGGTGGCAGCCTACCGCTCTGGGGGACCTGGGTTCGAATCCGAATGGTTCGAATATGTTGGGCCCGTCCCTCGCCACCCAGCAGCTCCATTGTGGGCCTGGCCAAACCCATAATGGGCTTGCAAAAAGAGGCCCTCTTAGTGCCCACAGGGCAGAAAGAGTTTAAAAAAAAAAAAAATCATAGAAAGGAAGAAAGCAAGATCTTTAGAGGAAAAGAAAATGATTTGGTTTTATTATTTAATATTCTAATTGACTAAGTCCTGATAGCAGCTTAGTTATTGTGAGAAGAATTATTTTAAAATGCATTTCAATAATTTAGCCAGTTGAAACACTTGTCATATTACTGAATAACTGTGTGTTTGGATCTTGTCTGTCTGAATCCTTTTTTCTTTTTATAGATAGACATTTAGTTAATACATAATTAATACACTATAGGTCAATGGCAAATTTAAGGGATGCACAGATGGCAGCTGCACCTCTCTTATGGCATTGGTAATTCATTACTTTAATACTAATTCAACACACCTTGATCCAGTCCAGCTAGAGTTGAACTGGATCAAGATATTGTAGAGGTGTATTTTTGTTCATCCAGTTTGAGATGTATTACTTTTAACATTAATTCTTCAGTGATATATTATTTCTTTGGCCCTTCATAAATGTGACTTAAAGCATGAGAAAGTGCATTGCCTTTCTTTTGCAGTTTTTTATTTGATTTTCAAAAACTTAATTTATCATCATAGTAAATTCATTTTCCTTTTGTTTTGTTTTCGCAATGACAGCCAACTGCAGGTTATTGGAGAAAAATTTTATCATCCAACTGGATTCTACTGTTGATATTTTTTAATGAAAAACAAATTCATATAAATAACTGATATAGCTGTTTCTACAGTAGTGTTACTTTATCTTTGTATGTGCCAAAAATTTTGGAACAGATTTATATATAGTGTATATAATTTTCCGAGGAAAGCCAGATTTTCAAGATTGTTCTCTACTTAAATCAATTGCAAATTTTATTTACAGTAGAGCGTCATTTAGCCGAAAGAATTCCAGTCAGCACATTTAAATTTTTGCTAGTGCTGTGGCACTACAATCTTTGGCTACTCCAGTATTTTTTTTTTTTTTGTTGGTGTGTGCTGTTTTTCTGAGGACTGTGTGATGCTGAATCAAATGTTCTTGATACTAGATCAACTTCTAAAATATATATTTTTTTTTTTTTGGTTTTTTTATTTTTCAATATATTTATTTCTTTTTCTTACAAACAAAATAATTTTTAACGATACAATAGCCACGATTATTATTTTAAAAAGTTTACATTAGGCTTAACATCGACAAAAATTCAACGCGAAGCGACACGCAACAGAGAAAAATTTCAACACGGGATAGGTTAATATATTTTTCGTATGAAGCCAGTCATCTCACTACTTTGTCTAGTTTCTAAACATTTAACATTTTTAGAATTCTCTTCTTTTATTATCACTTTTCATATTTCAGACAATTTTCCACATTATTCCTGTTTACTACTATATGATCTAAGACTGCTGCCTAAATATATATCTATCCTATTATTCTTATAAGTATCCTAAGCTGTTTCCAATTCACTTTTGCATTAGAATCATTTGCCTCCCTTGCTAGCATTGTTCCTAAAATCATTCCAATATTCTTCCATTTGAGTTTGTAAGGTCCTAATCATTTATCTTATGTAATACCTGTTTTTGTCTTTACTATTTTCTATCTTTACTACATACACTCCAACTGTCTGAGGTCTGGAATCTTAATTTTCTCATTTCTTAAAAACAAATACTATTCATCTTAACATGATAAATAGACTATCTGTTTCTCCTTTAAAACACATCTTCATAATCTTATATGACTGCATAATATTCACTTTTAATATTACTCTTCTTTCTTCTCTTTTTGATCTTTGTTTCCTTGTTACCATTTTCCCTCATTTTTACAGATATCTTCCATTTTGCTTTTTATCCCCTTTACAATCTTCAGAGAAATCTTCACTCTTACAAAATTCTCTCTTAAAATATTAATTTTTCATTTTAAATCTTTTGGGTTGTTGTTAAACTAAGTTACTGCATGCAACAATCTCATTGGTTAAATTAGCAGTGCTTATTTTAGTTGCTTTTCTTGTTGCAACAATGATGGCTGCCTCCATGATGGAAATATGCAAATTGAATTCTTATATGACATGACAGTAAAGTTATAAGGTTTTGATCACCATGAAACAATATCCTGCTTGTACTAATTTTTCATTTAAAATACTCATTAGTAAAATAAAATCAATTTGACAAAATAAAACAATTTAAATATACAAATAATCTACTTAAGAAGCTGCCCACAGCACATAGAAATTGCTGAAAAAATTCAAGTGGGAACTCCAAACACCTACTGTATAGTCCTGCTAATCCCATAGAGCAGGAAATAAATCACTGGGGGGCTGGATTTATAAACAAGGACAAACTAAAAAAATTGTGACTCATATTTTTCTCTTTACCAGCTAGCACTAGGCCTGTTAGATATAGTCCACATATAAAATAGTAACCTAAGGTTACAGGTAAAAGTGAAAGCATATATATAATACATATGAGCCCTGCTGACCACAGTCATAGGTACAGGGAGACTCTGAAGCTTAACCATCTCACAACCTTTGTAGCTATGGTTCTGATTATATAACATAAAAAAAGTCATTGACATGCCAAGAGTTGCCCACCTATGGCCTAGGATACTGAACAAGGAAGATGAAACAGCCAATGAAAGAATAATAGAACAGATATATATTTAAGCAGCAGGCTTAGATCATGGAATAGTGAACATGAATAATGTGGAAAAATTGTCTGAAATATGAAAAGTGATAATAAAAGAAGAGAATTCTAACAATTTTAAATGTTTAGAAGACAAAAAGTAGTGAGATGGCTGGCCTCATAGGAATGGAAAACTCAAAGTAGATTGCTTCTATTTGAAACTGAAAAATAAAAAGAACATGTAACGCACTGTTTACGAAAACCAAAAGCGGTTACAAGTACCAGGCCTGGACTTTCCAAAACAAACAATAATTTCCACAACCACAGACAATAAAGTTTAATTCTATTGACAAAAAACAGACAATAATGGGTTAATTGAATAATTGAAAAGTAGTAACAAAATCAATAATCAAAGAAACTTGTATGTATATCTAATCAACAAAACTTTTATCTCCACCTTAAAAAAAAAGGATTTTACAGCAAAAGATAAGATTTCCTCTAATTTATCACCTCTGTCGTGGATGTGCCGCCTTTTATTCTACTTCGAGTGCAGCTCCGCACTGTCTTAATTTACATAAGTTGTCGTTACAGGATCAGGCACTGATGCAACTAAGTTTGCTTTTTCTTTCATGGTCACAGGTGCTTAAGAGTTTGTCCTTAACAAAAAAAAAGAACCCAGAAAAGAAAATAATTAAATAAAAATAATGCCCAAAACATAAAATAACAATCAGACATTGACTCCTTTACACCCCTCCCCTCTTAAAAAAAAGAAATAATTTTTATTTCTCTTAAAGGGTTTGCAAATCATTATATATCTAAAAGGATGCCTGTCCTGTTTCTGTAATATTGGTATAGGTGTAATATTGGTATAGGGTGGTCAGTTTGCGGTCGTACTATAATTAAATTGAGGTGGAGATTTACAATTCCTTAACACCGATGATTGACCAAAAAAAAATTGTAAATGTTGTCAGTGATGTTTTTCTTTATTCATTTTTTAGACGTCTGTTTGGCAGGCTATCGGTAGTTTATTCTCTTTCGGGGTTGAAGTCGTCAGGGTGATGGCGACGTTTGATCAAGAGGAGTTGGTGATGTGGTAGTCGTCGGTATAGGAGTTGGTGGTGCTTGTGGAAACAAGTTGTATTTCTTAAGATTTGATATATGATGTCGTCCATGTTTGGGTCCTGTAGTTCGTAGACTAGTGGCGATATCACTTTGGAAATTTCATAAGGTCCAGACCATTTTGGGGCAAACTTTGCACTAAAACGTTTGGGAGAACAAGAAATTGGATGAGTTTTCAATAATACTGGAGTACCCACCTTATAATCTGAGACGGCGGCCACTCTCATATAAGTTCTTTCTTGTTGGTGTTGAGCCTTTCTTATGTTTTTCTGTGCTTGCTCTAAAATCTTTTGGAATTCATTATATTTTTCCTCTATACT